GCTCGGAAAGTCCTGGACTTTTAACTCGTTTCCTCTTTCCTGCAGTTTCCAGCATCCCAGAAACAGCCTGGGAATTATCCCAGATCCACCCCTGTTGTCTGGGTGATGCCCTTTCCCTAAGGCAGCAAAAGCAAAGCATATTCTGAACAAAAATGGTGTCAGGGGCAGCTTTTTTAGCTTTTCGGAGCCGCGTTCCCTCTCCTTCCCTGAGGGATTCCTTTCCATCCAGGGATGGTCTCCAGACCCGGGAAAGGGGAGGGGGTTTCCCTGCCCAGGAGCTCTGGAGGTACCTGATGCCTTGAGCTCCCTCTGCTGACCTCGGAACAGCAAATTAAGAACCAGCTCCATCAGAGTCTCTTAAAAAGAGACTGATTTCAAATTTAAATACCCAAACTAGGCAGGAGTTTTGTGCCCCACTCCTTAGATTCTTGCCTCTATTCCATATCTACATATTTATGAAGGACTGGCTGTGGAGTGAAGCAAAGCTGTTATTTAAAGTATGTCACAATACTGATTTTTTTCTTTTTTTTAATTTTTTGTCCTTCTAGAATTTCACATGAGATTCAAGGTTGGTGTATAAATGTGTCATTTTGTTTAAAAACTCCTCTTTTTAGCTACTGACGTTGGAAAGAAACCTGTACTTTAGGTATAGCTCTGCACAAAAATACCACAAAGTACACCAAGGTGGTTGTTATTAGTGGCTATTATTATTCTCTAATACCAACCACAGATATTTGTCAATTATTTGAACACCACGTGGCTGCTTTGGGCCCGTGTGGCCAATTCTTATCCTGACTCATGAGATTTTTGGTTCCTTAATGGCTCCTCCAGGGTTGTTTCTTTGAGGATTTGCCCTGAGGACTCTGATATTTGGAAATAAATGTCCAAAATCCACTCCCTGCAGCAGAGAATCCCTGAGTCTTGCACATTTAAACTGGGTCAGAGACATCCCACAACCATTAAGGTTGGAAAACACCTCCAAGACCATGACCCCATGGTTTTACCTGGAGGTAAAACACCCCCAGGAAATTCCATGGTTGGGAAGCTGAAAAATCTGGCAGATGGTGGTGGTTTGGTGTCTTTCCCCTGTGGGAGGGATGAAACATTTATAGTCCTTTTAAACTCGTGTTGGTGTTGAGGCTGTGAATTCATAAATGGGACACAATCTAAATTCTTCTCCAAACCCAGCCCAGGTTTCCAGCCCCAAGGAGCAGCTGCTGCTGGGTGGACTCTCCTTCCCCCTGCCTGTGTCAGTCACTCCTGGCTGTCCATGTTTATAAAATGAGGAGCATCCCCCTCCTCTCAGTTCTGCCCAGTTCCTTGCCTGGGTCACAGCAAATTTCCTTTCACACCTTCCTCACAAACTGCCTTTTTTTTGCTGGGAGGCCTTTGGTGACCTCCTAAAAGCTCGTTGGCTTTGCTGCTGTGGCCAGTTTTCCCTCATCCCTCACTTTCTTCAGGTCAGGTATTAGAAACAATTTTTCCCTGCAGGAGTGGTCAGGCCTTGGAATAAGTGTCCCAGGGAGGTGGAGGAGTCCCTGTGTCTGGGAGTGTCCCAGAGGTGTCTGGATGTGGCCCTTGGGGACATGGATTAGGGGTGATCCTGGTGGTGTGGGATGTGAACCTTTCATTACCAGAGCCAATATTTGATCAGAGAATGTGCCTCAGGGTGTGCTCTTCAAATTGATTTTAATTCATTTCTCTTTACCTCATTTGATTTCAATTCATCTGTTTTCAGCTCCCACTCCATCCCTTTGAAAACTCCCTCACCAAAAAGTGCAGTTCTGCATCAACGTGGGATCCTCGTCCAGAGGGACCATGGAGATGCTCCAAGGGCTGGAGCCCCTCTGGTGCCAGGCTGGGAGAGCTGGGAGGGTTCACATGGAGAAGAGAAGGATCCAAGGAGACCTCAGAGTCCCTTGCAGGGCCTAAAGGGGCTCCAGGAGAGCTGGAGAGGGACTGGGGACAAGGGATGGAGGGACAGGACACAGGGAATGGCTTCAAACTGCCAGAGGGTGGGGTTAGATGGGATATTGGGAAGGAATTCCTGGCTGGGAGGGTGGGGAGGCCCTGGCCCAGGTTGCCCAGAGAAGCTGTGGCTGCCCCTGGATCCCTGGAAGTGTCCAAGGCCAGGTTGGACGGGGCTTGGAGCAACCTGGGCTGGTGGAAGGTGTCCCTGCCCGTGGCAGGGGTGGCACTGGATGGGCTTTGAGGTCCCTCCCAACCCAAACCTTCCCTGATTCTGATTCTCTCTAAATGTCACTATTTGAGGAACTTGCTTTTTTCAGCCACTGTGGTCTTTTTGTTACAAAAACCATTCACAACTCTCAGTATCATGCCCAGGCACCTTAAATGAAGGGTGAATCTCAGCCATCAAGACACACCTCTTCTTAGAAGTGATGATCTGCAGGCCAAGGTTATCTCCAGGAGATATATGGGGTATTTATCTCCACATAAGTCCAGCTGGGTTTGCTGTTATATAAAGTGCTCTGAGCAGGCTGTTTGCATGACTAACTCCTGTACTTCCTCCCTGCCTCAAGGAGACTCGATTTCATCAGGAGTTACTGTAAATGAATCACTAAACCCATATTTTTTTATGTTAAGCCTCCCAGCCTGCTGAAATGCAGACACTGCAACAGGCTCGAGGCCTCCAGGAAAGCCTGTTCTGGTTCCCAATTTACCAGTAAACATCTTAAACCCTGCTCTGGTTCAGAACAGGCAAACAAAACACAGGGAGGGAGGTGTCGCTTTTTTCCTTTGTCATCTCCCCTTTTAACAGGCAGAAACAGTGTCACCTGAGCCTCATGAAGTCATGGAATCATGGAGCAGTTTGGGTTGGAAGGACCTTAAATCCCATCCAGTGCCACCCCCTGCCATAGGGGGGGACACCTTCCACCAGCCCAGGTTGCTCCAAGCCCGATCCAACCTGGCCTTGGACACTTCCAGGGATCCAGGGCTTCTCTGGGCAACCTGGGCCAGGGCCTCCCCACCCTCTCAGCCAGGAACTCCGTCCCAATATCCCACCTAACCCTGCCCTCTGGCAGTGGGAAGCCATTCCCTGTGTCCTGGCACTCTGGGTCCAGTTTGCTGCTGTGCCTGTGAGTGGGAGAGGAGAACCTGGAGCTCAGTGGGGCCAAGCTCCTGCTGTGACACATTTGCATTAACTGCTAAAGAAATACAAGTATCTCCTGCCTTTTGCCTGGATATCAACTGCTGGCTGGTGTGTCCTGGGGTTACAAACACTTCCTTGTGCTACCACATGGAAATACCAACTGTGACAGCTCCAACTGTCCAGTGAAAACTCAAATCTCTTCCCTGGGGTGACATAACTTCACTGTCTGTGCCTTTAGGTGTAGCACCTTCCAGTGGTCGAGGAGAGAAGGCTCCAGGGAGACCTGAGAGCCCCTTCCAGTGTCTGAAGGGGCTCCAGGAGAGCTGGAGAGGGACTGGGGACAAGGGATGGAAGGACAGGACACAGGGAATGGCTTCCCACTGCCAGAGGGCAGGGATAGATGGGGTATTGGAACCAAGATGTCTTGCTGAATTGGAGATGCCCCTTTACACATCCCAATACCCTTCCATGACCTCCAGAAGGCCCCAACTGGCAGAGGAGGGTCCAGGTCATCCCAGCTTCCTCACACACGTCAGCAGAGCCACCACAGCAAAGTTTGCAGGGGGAGGATTTGAGGCTGAACAGACCAGTTTGGGGCTTCTCTAAGACCTTTATTCCTTTTCATGTCAGGGCAATATCAAACAGCTCAATTCCACTTCTCTTCCAGGAAGAAGATTGAAAATCCAAGCAGCAAACACCAGGAGCTGCTTTTAATGAGGTGAGAGTTTGAAGAGCTTTTGGCAAAAGAAGTCTGGAGTTTGTTTAAGGCTTTGTGGTTTGAATAGGAGGGAGATTCTTCTTCTTTATTTGCTTCCTTGTTTCAGTTTCTTAACAGACTGTGGTTCTTTGCATGAGACATCTGGAAGAAGAGGGGGATGGAGGAACACAAGGAAGGGGTTGATTTGCCTCTCAAACCACTCTGGTCCTAAAATTGCTCAGCTCCCGATCACTGCCTCATGTAAGAGATGTCCCTCAGTCTGTCAATGGATTCATTTCAACTCTATCTCTGTGTTATTTTTGGAGAACTTCCTTATTTTTCATGAATTCAAATGTATTTTCAAGGTTCTGCACCAGAAATTTGGCTGCAGAAAAATCACAGGATCATTTATCCCTTCCCATCTGATTTGACATTGCTTTCTGCTCCCTAAGCTCAAGGAAAAGAAAGCAATATACAGAATTATCTCTGAATCTGTAGGTTCTGCAGATTCCCTGGGTTCAGGATGTCAGGATCAGATGTTGCATCTCCTCCAGCTCTCTCTTCTCTCCATTAAATCCCTTTATTCTCTGTTCTCTCTGTTCTCCTTAAGCTCCCAGTTTTAAGAAGTCATCCCTCATCCACTGAGGGTAAAAACCACATATTCCATGTTTTTCATGAAGGCACAACCATTTTGACCTCCCTCCTAACAGAGAAGACTGTCAGAGAGTAATGTCTTAGGCTTTGACTTAGGAGGAAGCTCAAGGCAAGAGAGAGATCATATGGGATGAAACCCAAAGCCTGCCCAAGTTTCCTCTCCGGGCTGGGAAAGGGCGAACACACATGCCAAGGTCTGGGATTTCTGTAACAAACAGTGTTTGTCAGCAGCAGGGAGGAGGGAAACCCCTCTGCCTCAGCCGTGTCTTTAGTTTCGAGTTGCTCCACGTTTTCTCAGTGAGTCAAAATCTTGTTAGTGCCCGAATGTGAGCTGCCTCTGCAATGAATGTGCTCCTGAACACGCTGCTCTGCAGTTTCGTGGCCCTGCTTAGAAGCTGTGGGGGCTGTCACAGCTTGGCCTGGGCGCCTGTCCCAGAACTGCCCCTGCAGTCGCTCCAGACAATGCATGGCTGGAATTCCTGCGCTGGCTTGGGGGGTGATTAAAGGATCTGTGTCAGCACAGCCCCGGCACAGGGGATGCCCAAAGAGAAGCACCTGGAGCAGACGGTTTCAGCAGAACCGTTCCGAGGGGTGAGTCACCCCTTCCCAGAAGGGTTCAGGGCAAGGTCAGACACGTCGAGTGCAGGGAAAACAGGCTCAGTCTGCAGCTGGCTGACTGTAATCTCCAGCAGCCCCTTTCGGCTCGTCTGATGGTGATCATCAACCGCGTTTCCTTTTTTTTTTTCCTTTTTTTCTTTTTTTTTTTTAATAAATTCTCTTTCCTAACATTCATCATTTTTGTCAGCGTTAAAAGGCTTTAACCTTTTAACAGGTTCGGACCTGTTTTATTACTGCTCCTCCCTGCAGACAGAGGATCTCTGCCCTGTGAGTTGCAGGAGATAAGAGCAGGGCTCAGAGAAAGGGAGAAATCTCTCTTTCGCTGGGGAAAGGGCTGAAGTGCAGCGGGAACCGGGTGATTCATCCGAGCTCCGTTGGGAATCAAAGCTGCCCAGCCCTTACTGAGTGCTCTGACCAGGAGACTCTTTCTTTGTGCCAGCTCTTCTTTCCTTGTGCCAGCTCTGCTCAGGAAATTCAGGCAGCCCAACATCATCTGTACTAACTGAAGATGTTTTAAGTACCCTAACCCTGCAC